CATCAAAGGGAGTTAGTAATTACCAAATTGAGAGAATCATGAAGCGCTTTTCTAAATTTGAAAGGCTCATCAAGAATAGATCAGGAGCAGGCAAAATTAATAGTTATGAACTCATTTCCATAGAAATGGACTTATTAGCAAGCATGCCAGCTGCCTAAAATTATAAGGTCTTTTCCTTCTGCTTGCAGGAAATCATCTTTTTTTATAAAAGTAATTTTGACTTTATTTTTTTTATTGCTTTTCCAAACTGGGGTTTGGGAAAGTTCTCGGGCAGTGGCTTAAACTGGACAAAAGAAAAGGAAGGAGAAGGAAGACGTAGGAAAGGAAAGAAGACAACAAGCATTGTATAACCTCGGATGCCACAGGATCTTTCTGTGCGGCAACTTGTTCAGAGAACAATAGAACATGTGGCAAGAAAAAGTTGCCAGGTTTTAACAAGAGTGAGTTCAATTAAAAATAGGATTTAATGGCTAATCATGGCATGAGTCGAATTCTTCTTATTTGTTGGTAGCCTGCCGGCTTTCATAGCACTTTATCCTCACTAGATACCTAAAGGATATCTGTAATTCAGCAAGCAGGAAGTCCAACCTCTAAGAATTGGCCATGACCTACAGTGAAGGCCAAGGAAAAATCAAAGATTTGCCATGACAGGGGAGAATTCCTTTTAAAGGACATGATATAAAGGACTGGCATGTAGCTAATCCCCACTACCAGAGAAGGGGACTTTAAGTCTCAGTGTTATGATTTGTAGACAGAAGTTCCCTGAGATTGAAGAAAGTAAATATTTGACTCTTGGGGTTTGATTCTGATTTGACTTCTCAGAGTTTTCTCCCTTTATTTCAGTGGAATTGGTCCTGACTTACACTAGCATAAGTAAGAGATGCATCAGGTATCCAGTCCCTTAAATTTAGGGCTTTCATAGCTCCCGATGGGCATGTCTACCATGCTCTGTTATGGAAGACAGTTAGCATGTCGCAAGACTGTGGGCGCATCTACACGAGACGCTTACTGCGCATTAGCCTAATAACGCTTGCATGGTAGTGTAGAGGTTATGAAGCGTGCTAATAGCCTGCCGCTCAGTGTTAATAGGCTAATGCGCACTAAGCATCTTTAAAAAAAACCCGTGCTCCGGCACTAAACTAAATGTCCTGTAACTAAGGTGCATTAATGAACGTGTAGACGCCTGCATGAAGTATCAGTCTTCCTGCTGGAAGAAAGAGAAGAATCTATAGGTGAGAAAGAACAAAGACTGCAGGAACAGTCGAAAGACTATGGGCCACTGAATTTTATTCTTCAAGCTTTATCATTGGCTCGTTATAGCCCTAACCTGGGAAGAGACTTGAAAGACAACTGAAGATTAATCATATGCTTTTCCGTCAGGGACTTTGGGCCTCGGATCTCATAGCATTTGGCATTGCTCTTAGGGCTTGTCTTGAAGGGGGAAACAATGGCCACAGTCTTGGATGAAATTTGGAAGTAATTTGTAGGGCTGCGGATGAATAAAATACTCCAGGGGCTGAATGCTAGCGAAACCTAATTAGAACATGGTGAGTCTGGCACAAAAGTGTGGCTTTTCTGGCTGTTTTCCGAAAGAAAAAGAATATAAAGTTGGTGTTTTGTTTTCAGATGCTGATAACTTACCGTGCATTTAAAGTCCCTCAGAGACAAAGTGGGAAGTGTTTGATTAATGGGACAGGATTTCTTTTTCTTTAAGCTGTTGCAGGAAGTCTCCTTGTCAAACTGGGTCACCATTTCTCCACTATGTTGTTCTTTTTGTGTTTCATAGGTCTCTTTAAAGGGTGAAGGAGTGTGTATGATGGATCTAGGAATGTCTTTGGTAGCCGTGTCGGTCTGAGAATCATCTCTGGACCAAGATTTCTGGAGTTTTGCATTCCTATGATGGATCTAAACTTCTCCGTGTATGAATGGCAGGGGAGGGGAGAACTGCAAAGACTTACTAGTTCAGAGGGGCATATGCTTTCCTAGGTGACAGCCTACTTCATCCGGTACTATGACTGGACTGATGAAGTAAGGCATCATCTATGAAAGCTTATGCCTCTGTGAACTGGTTAGTCTCTAAGGTGCTACCCTGCTGTGCCTGACTTCAGATGAACATGGCTACCTACCCTTTTTTTTTCCTCTCATGTAGGGATTAAACTTTGATTCCAAGATATGGCAGTCTACAAGTCTGTCTTTAAAAAAGGTGTGGAATATGTAGCTATGCAATTGTGATGCTTCGGTCACTGTGGGTGGCACCTATACGCGTAATACAAGCTCTCATGTTTGAACTGGCAGAAGCTATCCCCTCCCCGGACGGTTGCTACAGTAATCGATAAGGCGTGGACACAGACGTACTCTGCTAGAGGCTTTGCTTTTGTTCTTTTTTGCTGTTGCCTTTTATATGAAATCCATCATTTTGAAATGAAAATGTACAGGAGCTCTTTGGGCACGGACGATGTAACAAGGGGATAATCAAAAGAATTGTGGACTGAGCACAAAACAGCTCCTGACAGTGTGACATGATGAAATTGCTCCAGCAGCTCCGAGTTCGACCGGCCCAATAGCACACGGGAATACCACGCGCTCCTTCTAATTACTTTAGAGACGACTCTCTGAGCAGACCCCAAGAGTTTGTCCAATTTTTTGAGATGGGCTTGGAAACTTTTGCCGTGGATGGTTTGGTGGGATTCAATATTGGGACATTTTGTATCTAAGTCTCCTCTGAATTTAATTCCTGATATGTGGGCTTGCTTGGGTTGTGAAGGTGTAAAACTAATTGATAGAAGCAATGAGCCTGGGACCACGCAGCTGAACTCTCAGTTGTGGTGACAACGTTTTTTCTGCAGAAGTTAAGACGGCTCTAATTGCCACTCTAGTGTTGCATAATGTAATTTATCTTATGGGTCTTGTTGGAGCATAGGAACTGCCATTTATTGGGTCCATATTGCCCGGTATCCTGTGTCACACAGCGACAGAGAGTGGATAGTGAAAGGAAGAGTGAACAGGGCTTTTCCACTGTTCCTCTCCCATCTCCAGCCTCCAGCATTTCAGAAAGTTATGATTCAGAGGCTGTATCCCTAACTCCCGTGTTCAACAGCTACTGATGCACCTTTCCTCCAGTAATTTGTCCAATCCCTTTTTGAGTCTTTTGCGTATTGTCTAGCTCAGTGATTCTCAACCAAGATGCTGGGACACCATGGGGGATCCTTTGAAGGGTGCGGCGAGGTATGAGGAGATAAGCAGGATAAGCACAGGCTCAGGCTTGTCCCTGCCTGGTCGTTCCCCCATCGCCACTGCCTGGCCCCTCTGCAGGGATGTAAGGACTGTAATAAATGTTAGTTCTTGAAATGCCGCTCGATTCACCAAAATTTTGGAAGGGGTCTTCAAGTCTAATGTGTGGGGGGGAGGCTTTGAGGCTAAAAAGGTTGAGAACCATAGGTCTAGCAGGACACCTGAAAGTTGCATTTTTAGCTTCTAGCCTTGCCTGAAGGTAGATATAATCCTTTGTTAAGTTGGAAAATATTTGTCCCCCAGGTACTGGAGTATACATTGGAGGTGTATGTTGTCAGAATGAGAACATAAAAATCAATAATCTGTGTTCAGATTTTCTCCTTTACAATGTGACTTCAAAAGCATACAGTAAAAAATAAGGTCTGCCTTTGCGCATTCACAGCATTTTTTGGAGAGAGATGAGCGTGAAAGTCTCTGTTCTTGAGAAGGAGCTCCGTTCCTTTGTTTCAGTGGAGAAGCCCAGGGAGGTATAACCCAGGTGTCAACAGTTTTTGCCAGCATTGTTTTTCTGATGGTAGTAGTCTCAAGCATTTGGGTCAAATTGAATTTTTCTAAAGGTGGTATTTTAAGGTGGTTATGGGTGTGGAAGCTAAGCATTTGCAACGATAGTGTGACCCAGTGGATCGGGGGCTACGTCTGTCTGATCGGTTGTGTTATTCTGGTCAAGTCTCTGTTCCCCATCTATAAAACAGGAGCAATGAGTCGTATGCTCCTTTTGTAGGCTGTTTTTGGTTGCATGGATAAAAATAGCTGAAGGAGGGAGGCAGACACGGTTCTTTGGATAAATCTGATATCTTTTATTAGACAGGAGGGAAGCACTGTTATTCCAAATGAATCTTTGCCACTGATCTGATCTATAGTATTGGATAAATCCAGTGATTGTTTGGTTCTCTATAAACTGAAGAAAAGACTATCTACCCAACAGGAATGTCATGAGGATTAATTAGTTGATAATTGTATAATGCTTGGCCACAGGAGAGCACTGAATGATGGTGGTATCAGTAAAAGCAGAAATAATTCACAAATGCAGCTGTGAGGACTTTGCATTACACCCATTTCTCCACCCTTTAACTTATCCTCGAATGAGAACTGTATGATGATCATCATACCATTACCAGTCTGCCTCGCTGACAGGAAGAATATTTTCATGAATTGAAAATGAGTATAATCTAACCCCACTTTTTTGTCCTGTATAATTTTCACACATCCATTTTTTTTTTTCACAAAGATAAAGGCAAGCTCGTGTTTGAATGCCAAAAAAGAAAAAAAAAATTGTTGAGAGCTTGTTTCTGGTGCAGTATGAGGAATGAACAAGTATCTTGCTGTTTCAGGGCATCAGTATTTGTAACAACAAAATGGTAATGATGTTAGATTAAATAATTTAGCAACATCTGTGTTGCGTGCTTCCCAGGGTCCAGGCTTTATATTACAAGTTCGGAGAGATTACATAGAATTAATGTCTGAGTTTAATGGGAAACATGCTTCCTTTTCAGAACACTAAAAGATAGATTGTAAGCTCATCTATAAAATATAGCCATTGCCTGGCGGGTTGTTTGATTAAGGCTTTTATCAACTTCCTGGGGTCTGCATGTTGAATCTGATAATAGTGCTTCTGTTGCGGGGGTGGGGGCAACGTTGCCATTTACTTTGTTCCTGGCATTTTGTTGTTTCGTTTTCAATTGTACCTGAATGCCGATTTTGTTTTCCAGGGCAAACGTGTCCTTCCATGAGATCTTGCAGATGGATTTTGAAATGGACAGTAGCAGCAACCTGACAGGGGCCCAGCAAATCACCTGGCAGGTGGAATACCCCAGAGAAGAGACTGTGAGCGAACTGGTGGTCTCCGAGATCTTTGTCAGCCAAACGACATTTGCAGGAATCGTTCCTCTTGCAATGGTAGGAATCTGCTCCTCCGTCTTTCTTTTACAACGTTCTTGGTGGGTTTTTTCTGCATTTAATGAAAGACGGCCCAGTTTCTAACTTGCTATTTCCTAGGCACTATGCTGCAAGTGGTTTAAATGCAACCCCCCTCCCCCCCCCCCCCCCCCCAAAAAAAAATTTAATAATATTTTATATACCTGATATACCATAATGGCTCCTTGGAAACCATTAGAGTCTATTGTGTACATTCTTTTCCATTTGTGGATTATCGGCCTGCTGCATAGTAATAGCTCCTTTGGAGCTGTTGTCTGTTGTATTGACACAACTGCCATGCATGTGCGCTGAGGCTAAGTGTTGCAATTAGTTATGACATTTTCATTTAAATAAATTAGCATGCGTGTGTAGGAAACTTTATTTCTAAACCAAACAACTGGGCCCTTTTTTGCCTTTCTTTTCCCCAAAGTGCTCAAATGTACCAGTCGAAATCACAGACTAATAAGCTACAAAATGTCAATTTAATAAAGCACTTGTTTTGAGATGTAGAGCAGGGAGATGTAATCATTTCTAAAGGTTTGGAGTTAGGCCAGGTTTCCAAGGTAAAGTATGGGGCATATGTTCATAAAGCTTTAACCCTACAATTGTTATGCAAACGGCTACTTACATATTCAAACACAGTTTTGTGGGGGCCGTTGGACTTGACTGTAATTCTCTTGTGTTACTAGAGCTTTTTTGCTTGATGTAAATCAATTATTTCACTGGAGTTGCCCTGGTATGAAGCTGCAGTTACAGCGTGGTGAACTGGACCCTGTCAACAGAGATGCCTTTGAAAGTCTGACCTAAAAAAAGTTGAGGGATTAGTTTGTTTTTCTGATTAGTTTAATGAAAACTAACTTAGATGCTGGATGCTAAATTTCAATCTACTAATAAATTTTATTGCCATTTTTCTTAAATCCTGATCAAGGGAGGGAACTTTTTTGATTTTCTTGCTGCTCTATCCAATAAGCAGCAAAAATGAAAAGTCTCTTCTGAAGGGATGTTACTTTGTGCTGCTAGGACAGAAGCAAAAGTGGATGCTGGTTAGAAAATTAAGGACCTAGGTAGGACTTATTTCTCATTCCCTCTGACAGTCCCTAAACTAACAGGGTGTGATAAAGGGAGCCTTACAGGTAGGAGAGTCCTTACTGGGTATTTTTATGGTGACTGGCATGGAGCATATCAGTGGTTGGTATGGAAGAAGATGAATCAAATGCTCCTGCAATGTGGATGTGATGATGTCAAGTATTAGCAATGATTCAGGTTGTCAAAGCAGGTAGAGCGTGGACAATATCACTCGTAACAAAACAGAACTTGTTTCAAATAAATGGTAAAGTATTCATGTTATTAGCAGTCCTCCTGATGTAACGTAATTTGGGACCCACCCAAAAGCCCAGCGATGACCTTTCAAAGGTGCAGGATGCAGATGCGGATCAACATTTTACAGCCAACCTTGCTGTCTCTGTAATAGCCACTCTCAATCTAATTACTGTCATTGCAGCTGGGACCAATTTCAGATATGAGATCAAAACATTTCAGATTCTAATCCGAGTAGCAGAACTGAAAAATTCAGATTTGGAATCTCATCTCTTACATGATAGCACAGTGGAAACAAGCTGCAGTATAAGATAGTGTTCTTAGTATATATATTTTTTCTCTTTTTGGACATCTCTTAATATTTCTTAAGAATACCATCCTCCTTGATGCTCTGTATTAGATTGGCCTGGCCTGAGGCTGACATGAGGCTGAGACACCAGTAGCAAGAGCACTGGCTTGTGTTTGCAGTCCATTGCCTCTCATTTGCCCATTTGGAGTACTGCTTATTTAAGAGTTACTGTATGATCCTGTCTCTGGTCTTACATTGCCAAATGAAGAACAAAAGCCAGCGTACCACGGACTGTTCAATGAAACCAGGTGCCACTGAATGTTTTGAAATTTCGCTTCAAGAGTCACTCGATTTTTCTCATCGCTAATAAATCGATTCAACTGTATTTTCCCTATCGTTGTCCAAATTGCACAACATCTGTAAAAACAAAGTCCTGTCATCTCATCTATTTGTCCCTTAATAGAATACTACACAAAAGCACCAAAATGCACTAACTTTCAACTTTTTTTTGAACGCAAGGTACCTGTGGTTACCTTTATTTATTTACCGTGGGATCAGGTACTTTTATAGGGCTTCCAAAATCCCCCTGCCTCGAATGATAGTTAATTCTTTGCAGTGCATCCATTTTGATGTATTAATATTGTATTCTTGTAATATTGGTGCTGCACAAAACCAAACTCCATGCAAACAGATTGCTTTCCAGGCTGAGTATTGAGGTGGATACAGCCATGGTTTGCTAGTGGCAGTTGTTTCCAGACCTCTGTATATTTGTGGTGGAGGGGAGGGGAGGAGAGACAGCATTGACTTTAAATCTTGCAGCATGTCGGGTTCTGTCTTAATAAAGATTTAGGCTCAAGTTAAATTAATGGATCTTTCTTTTGGCCATAATAAATAAACCGGGGGCTCTTTTTTGTGGCTGCATCTCGCTGTTGCAGGTTGCAGCTGCGGCTAGGCTGAGTCCTAAGTACATCTCGAGGTTCTTCATTGCTTTCTTAAAGAAAAAAAAAGAGAGAAAGATGCTCCTTATGATTCATTCCCATATTACAGTGTGGAGTTACTGACAGGGATCTTTTTTCCATTACCTAATTTGTTTTTCTTCTAGATAATGTAGGTGTGGCAGCTAGCATGTACTCATTTGAATAATAGTCGGATCAAAAGACCTGATTTCTTGCTTCAGTGGGTTTATGAAGTACTTAACATCAAATCTGATGTTTTTTAACATTTATACTTAGAAAGCTTGGAAGCGTGTTCGTGTTTTAAAGACGGAGTTGATTTCTGCATGTTACGCAACACAGAATTTAGCTCCTTAGCTGCAAACTGTGCCGGCATTGCCGCAGGTATTGTATATAACCTCTGGTCTTTTAGTTTAAAATCAGCAGTGCATTAATGAAGAAAGCTTTTGACAGGGACTTCACACAGTCGAGCAGCAATTTACTTTCATTACTGTTAGTCACTTTGGGTGCTAGAAAGAACAACTAATGGCTTAAATACAAACTGTACATTTTGAGTTCTGAAGGAGGAGGGAGAGAAAAAAAAAGCCATGTAGCATATCTGAGTTCCCTATTGGTGTGGGTGGCACTCAGCTTTCAAGTGTACTGTATCGTCATGTGAAAAGGAGATGTGGGTGCAGAGAGCTCAAATGATTGCACAGATGCAAATGCAGAAAGCACTATGAAAAGGTCATTAGGAATTAGCTGGGAACTTACCAATAAATAAGAGGGTGCCTGTTTCCGTGGAAGTAAAGGAAAAACCCAAATGAAGAAAAGGAGTGGAGTTAGGAGCCCCCTGCTCCTGCCAGGACCAACGCCTCTCAATACAACTGAATGTGGAAATCAGCAATGAATTGGAGCACAACACCGAGAAAGCAATTTATAACGCACGTGAAAAGTTAAGCTTCTCAGTTTGAACCGATCAGCCCCAAAGGGCAGGTGGAAGCTTCAGCTCACACGTACTGGTAGGGATAAAAACCTGTGTTTTTGCAATCTGCTAGGAACTTTTGAGCTGCGGTGCTATTGTTCATTTAAATTCAATAACAAGGAGCTGACAGCTGTAGTTAATAAAGAACTGGAATTCTACCTGAAGGATGACTTCTTGTTTTACATCAATGCCCGACAAACCTATATCCATCTTTCTTATCTGGGTGTTCTTTGCACATTTGGATGGATTTCGGAGCTTTCCTGGTGATG